CAACAGCAAAGGCTGCGTTCCATTCCAAAATACCTAAATGTGAACTTCAACGTTTAAGGTTTAACTTTTACATTTAAATTTAAACATTTATAATTAGGATTTAATATTTAAATATATTTTTAACATTTAATAAAATTAGCTAAATGTAAGAACAGTGAGCTAAATAATGAAAAATATGTTAGTGACATTTTTTAACATTTAATTTTACATGTGGTAACTCTGCACTTGGATCTTGGATATATTTTTCCAAACTGTAATATTTTTGCTTTGCTAAAAGTAAAAATCAAGAATAAACATGGAGTAAAGACGTCTAAATGCTGCTGTTCCTCTGTGTGTCTGTTGCAGCGAGGCTGATGTTGGAGTGAAGGAGGCTGTAATTTTGGTGCCAGCTTGTCGTCCACAGAGACGTATGAGGTTGTCACAAACACAGAAGCTGTAACCAAAGACACAACGAGACACAGAGAGGAGGCTTTCTGAACCTTTTAAACACTAAGGTGTTATTTTCTACATCGGCACATGTGGAGAAACTATTCTTACAGGGACCTGAAATGAAATGTTCTGGTGATATATTCATGTTAATGCAGAGCTGGGTTTGGGTGGACCCAGAATTATACTGAAGCAGACAACAAATAACTCTCATTATGGTTTGTTTGGTAAAAGCAGCTTCTGACCGACTCGTTCTGCCGTTCTGATGGGATATTATCTCTGCTCGCCCCAGTCCGAATCAGCATGCTTCATCAGCAGCAGGGTGAGAGGCAATCCCGCCAGGCAATCAAGATAAATGATTAACACTTAGAGGTCTGACAGATTTCTTCTTTGCAACATTTCTACACTGATTCTGTTTGTCTCTAACACAGAATCAGGCCCGTGAAGCTCGTTTCCATCTGCCTCCGTCTCTGCATGCTGCACTGCCGAGCACGAACACTCGGATTTAGCTGCTCTGCCAGCCGTCGAGTTGAACAAAGCGTCAAGAAAACGTCAGTGAGTCACTCGTGAAGATGGGAACAATGAGAGTTTCAGAACCAGGACAAATCGAAGGCGAGATGTTTTAAAGAAGGTTCTCTGTTGCTGCAGACGTCTACACGGAGAACCTGGAAGGCGTCAGAACATCGCAGCATCGATCCGACAATGTTCTCACAGAGACGGAAAGCGCGACAAAACCTGAACATTTTGTTACATCGACAAAGAATCCTGGAAAAGTAGAAAAAGATGCAAATAAACACTGTTGTTTGCTCCAAACACAACATCCAGGTGAATTTTAAACCAAACAGCAAATATGTTAATGACCCTCAGGAGGGCAGGGAGAGGCAGCAGCTCATTACAGCTCAGAACTCCACGTTTTATTTGAATTTAAAAGTCTCTGCCTTCAAAAATGAAATAATGAAACACAGTTACCTTCATTTGAATCCACAGATGTATGTAATTTATTATAATTTAATGTTATTTAATATATTTTAACATAACCAAACAAACAACATTTAGCGAGACCTCTAACTTCTTAGCTCTAGTCCCGTCCATACTGTTAATTTAATTTGTTTTGTTTCCTTTTTATAAAAACAGTTTTTGTTGCCTGCTTCAGTCGCTGTTTGGTTTTGACAGAGAGACACCAGTGAGTCTGAAACACAAGAAGAGACAGATGTTGGACGGTCAGCAGCTGCACTGCCCTCCAGCTGTTGTTTACTCGTCTCCAGATGTCTCAGGGTTTAAGTCCTGTGCTGTCACTTAAAGCCTTAAAACTGATTTTTATTTGTTTGTTTGTTTTTTCACTTTGATTTCTCCAATCAGATTAAAGCTGTTAGTCCAAACTCCCTGTGTCGTAACGCCTTTAAGTAAAGCTTTTATTTACAATTATTTATTAATGTATTTTATCTCATTATATGTACTTTTTGTGTCCTTTTTGTCTTGTTATGTGGTCTTTTTAGGGTTTTAAAGCTGTATTATTCATCTATTTTGTTTATTTGTGCATCCTTTTTGTCTTTTCATGTCTTCTTATGCTTCCTGTGATGTGTCCTTATGTGTCCTTTTTGTCTTTCTGAGTCTCCTTATGCTTCCTGTTATTCTCTCTCTTCCTGTTCCACGTGTCTTCTTTAAAAATTACAACCAACAATAAAAGTTCAGCTGATATTTGACCCACTTTCATATTTTTAAATCAGTGTTCAGCCAAGTCCTTCAACACTGCAGTTTTGCAGAAAATACACATTTTTCTAGTGTAGTGTCTAATTTCCATCGGATATTGTTTTATATATAACTCTTTTGGCTCTTTGGCTTTTTGAAAAGTGAAAATATTTTCTTCCATGCTCTAAATATTACCAACAACTTGCATCCCCATTAGTCCGATCTTATTTCTCAACTTTTTTAAAAAAAAAAAAAAGAGCATTTAAATCAAAATCAATCCACTCTTTAAAAAAACTCTAGTTTCAGTGAATGTAGTTCACAGCGTGTGATGTGGAGCACCAACTGTGATGAAGCACAAAGAGTGTCTGAAGGTGACGCACAAAAGTTGTGATGTAGCAATCAGAGAGCCAGGACTCATTATTTTGTCTCCCAGCAGAGACGTATTAATGAAAGCAGAGCAGATACCAAAATATCCACTCTGCGTTCAGCCCGACTTATCCATCCAACACACCGGGTGACAGACAGGAAGTCTGAGACAGACTGGGTCACACGCCATGGCCTA